CAAATAAATTATGGAATTGCCAATCTCCACTGAAAAAAAAATAAAAATAAATAAATACATAAATAAATGTTAATATAGTATTTACGAAACGAAGTATCTTGATCATATAAACGCATACCTGGATCCCCGATAACATATGCATCATTGAATATAATAGAAGTATCGCTTTTCTCAGTTTCGTTTTTAGCCCAGGTTGATTTAACAGTGACAGTGATTCTTTGACTTTTATTCCTCAGCTCTTCAGTTATTAATTCGGTTTGGACAAGCATTTTATCATAAAAGTCATGAACTTTATACGTGCCATTCAGAATATGATATTTCAAAGCGTCAGCTCCCATACTTTCAAAAATATGGCCATCATAATAATCATCTTGTGGGGCAAGAATTGTATAGGGAGTTTCTAAATCTTCAATATAATGATTTAAACGATACTTGATAAGCGCAGAAACAAACTTTGTGGCTCTCAACCCACAAAGGTATTTGTGCGCATTGAAAAAGAGTGCTTTAGGAATCGCGATGTTATCAATTATATGAATGACACCTAAATAATTATATAAAGATAAGCAAGTTTATCTAAAATTGAATAAATCGATCGAATTATATAATTAAACCATTATTCACCATTATATGCCAACAAATCTTTATAGGTAACCAAGCCATCTGCAACATGAATAGCATCATTATCATCACGTACAATCTCAAGAGGTTCACCTTGAACGGTCTCGACTATTATTTAAAAAAAGATTTAACATTAAATTAACGCGATCTAAACGTGACAATCCGTAATCTCCGTACCATAATAGAATCGAACAAGTCATCTATTTTTTCCATTTCGTTTTAACTTGACTTTCTAAAAAAAATAAGATATATACCTGGCAGTAATTCATGACTAAAATTTGTCGTATACAGGACATTGTCAAAATGTAAATGATGTTTAACAAAAAGATCCAGATCCCGAAAGCCACCACCACAATTACCAGTAAGATACTCTCTCTCATAATGCTTAAGCCGTTTAGTAATGGAGTCATCAGTTGGAGCGAATACAGTAATATGATTTCCAATTTTGACATGTTTATCAAGATCCATAAGACGAAGATAGGTAGTAAATATCTCTAGTTGGTCAATTGAGTCTAATGTCGTTACTGTGTTAATACAAAGTAAAATTTGAGTTATTTGAAATAAAGATATCTAAATCATTTAGATTAATGAAATATATCATACACGCATCCATAGGAGTTACCAAAACGTTGTCAATGACATGAATTATACCTTAAATCAATAGATAGGAAATAAGCGACCAATATAGCATAAAAGAAAGCTATAACAAATTAATACAGAATGTTCGAATGGAACACTTTACCGTTGTCGCTTTGAAGATCAGTCTCGATAATTTTCCCATTCCCAATGTATTTTACTTCCTTTCCCAACTTTTCGGTAACTTTCTCAATTTTAACTTTCTGGCCAATTCTACCCTCGCCGAGCTTCTCAGATATTTCATAGCGTGTTGACAAGAGTTGCCCGTCTTTTAATTCTTCACCCTTAACCTCTTCCCACAATATATGGTAAAGCATACGATCTTTGGTGACAAAAGAGCCATCTTCGAATGCTTCGTTTGTAGGGGCGAAAAAAGTAGCAGTTTCTAAATGATTAAGAAGTGGTATAAGTCTAGTACGTTGTAAAGCTTCGATAAGATTAGCGAACCGTGGGTCATTTGATAAAACGTCAACAATAGTTTTCCTAGACTCAGCAAAAGGACGGCTTGCAGGTGAAAGTAGGATAAATAAAAGGAGTAATAAAATTAAACGACCGATTAGTGTCATTTGTAGTAATTATGGCAAATAGACTTTATGAAGCATTCTGTTTCATAGAATACATTTAATCCATTTATCTGTTATACCATTGCTACTGCGGCTCTCACGCATTAAGGCATAAACAAATCATATTGATATTACCGGTACAAAAAAAAAGTCCGTATTCATCATGTCATCTATGTCATCCCATGACTCTTTTTCTTTTCCCAATATTTCCATTTCAATTTAAAACCTGATTTTTAAGGTAAATCGACCGAATCGCGCAAATCGGTAAAACAATATGCCTTTGAATAATTATATGATTGGCTTGATTTATCAAATAAAATATTTGTAATTAAAATTTGGTTTTCACAATAACAACGAAAGCGGCAAAACGGCATAACTCAAATATATTTTTTTTTTTTAATATAGGAAACAGTATTTAGAACCGTATGATTTTTATGCCATTTGGCTTGAAAGAGGTATTGTTGAATGGCATAAAAATCTCTGGATCACGGGATATTCGATTCACCAATTGTATTCGATCTACTGTAGAAGGTATAAGTGAAACCATTAGCGTTAAAGTCCGAGGTAATACTCTATGGTCCGTGATACAGATATGTGTGGTACAGTATGGGCCCTACTTCTTTGAAACAGATTGCTTAGTACAACCAATTAAAATTCATATAAACTATTCTAATATAGCTATGTGAATAGCCTTTAGAACAATTATACAGTTAAATAGTTCTAATTCTAGAAATATATTAAAACTTTTACGTATTCAAAATTTTGATACCAGATACTGTAAACTTACTTTTAGTATTTGTAGTCGACCTAAGTTTATCGACTCGACTACCCGTATAAGCGCGAAATAACGCCCAGGGATGTAATTTTGAATTTCGGCCTAAATTTATACATATTCTTATACTGTATAATGTTGCAGATTATAATGATTGTGAAATTTAGAAGTTTTAATTTAAATAGATACTGTAAGCTTTACCAAAATTTACTTATACCTTTTTTTTAAATCTTAAGGCCAGACCAATTTAATTCTCTGTTTAATATAATCTTCCCTCTCTATTTTTTAAATTTTGTATAAAAAACACATAATATTAACCAATCAAATTGCAGTATTAACTTTTTGCATTTTTATATTTTTTAGAAAAAATCTATTTGTAACAGTCTGTTACATGCTAGAGATTGTACCCGTCAAGAAAATCTCTACCCGGGTATTATTAAGTTACCCGGTTATCCGGGTAATTTATTACAGCCATATAATAAAAATGTCTACCTGGGTACAATCTCTATTACATGCTTATTTGTAACCGCCTATTAATGTTAGAATTAGCGTTAGGGTTAGTATTAGGGTTAGTGTTAGGGTTAGTATTAGGTTAGATTTAAAGTTAGTGTTAAAATTAATACAAAATTAATACAAAATTGAGAGAGGATTATTTTTTATTAGTAATGCAAAAGAGATTATTTTAGTAAAATTTTGAGTTATAAGCAAACTGTTACAAATAAGTGTGTAACAGGCTGTTACAAATAGATTTATCCTATTTTTTATAGCCAATAAAATTACTATATTTTTATATATTAAAATTACATACAGTAGAATTAGTGCTTGGCACAATCAAACAAAAATTTGATAGTCAAATACTTGTTAATACTTATGTTTAATATTAGAAAATTTTTAAATAAGATAGATATCGATTACTAGCTGCAAAAGTGATTATTATCAATTAGGAAAATCAACAATAATTGATATTAGTAGCTAATTAATACACAATTAATTAAAAAATAATTAATTTTAATTTAGTTTTGATATCAATCGATTTTAATTAAAGCAATTCTAATCAATTTTAATTAGCAGCTTTGTTGTCAATTGATTCTAATCAGTATTATTGGTAATCAATAGATATTTTGCTTATCAATTGATATTTCTTCTATTAATCAATTGCAAACCAATTTAAAAATTTCCTGATGAAATCAGATATCAAATGATTGCAAATTAACCAAAGCTAAATATATATTATTAGTTAATTTGCAATTATTTGATGTTTAACTTAATCACAAGTATTAATAAATATTTGACTATCAAATTTTTGTTTGATTGTATCAAACACTAAGTAGGATATTATATATAGTAAAGTTAATAGAAATAGAACAAATTTATTAAATAAATTTTTTTTATTTCTATTAACTTTATCTTATATTATTATAAACATTTTTTAAAAACCTATATAAAATTAAATATATAAAATATTAAGTTAAAATTAATAATATAAATTTGTTAAATTTATATTTTTTAAATAAAAAAAAAAGGATATTTATAACTATAACTAGTGGTGATAATCACTAGTATCACGTGGTCTATAATTTTTGTACTAATATAACATATTAATCAAATTGTGTAATACTTGTATTATAGTATTAACTAAATTGTATAACAATAAGAAATCGGGTTAATAGTTACATTTATGATCTACATACCTGCATACTGTATAACAAAGAGTACTTACTAGCGTTAAAGATAAACTCTAAACCCTCTAAACCCTAACCCTACTCTAACTCTAACCTTAACCCTAATACTTATTGGCTCTATTGACTAATTGGCTTTTATTATAATCAGTATACAAGTCAAATAAAGCCGTTTTGTATCTTTAAAATTCATTTACATTTGTATACCCTTTCACTTTATAAAGGTTTTTGTATAACAAAAATAAAAAACTTGCTATCCCAGTTAGCTCACTTAGATTTGAATGTTACTAATAAAAACCTAAAAATCTAAAAACTGATTATGTATAAAATTCATAAATAACCTATTTTAGATTTTTGAGGTTTTCACTTAGCAACAATCATTTCAAAGTCGACACCGATTTTTAATTAGCTCTGAATTAGAAGAATTTTGATTCAAGATACAAGATACAATATATTATTATTGATATGCATATATACTATTAATACTAATGCCAGACATATTTAAATATGGAACAAAAACAAAGCAAAATACTATGTATAAACATATATGCATAATACAAATCTAATATGTAGAATTATGCCAATACAAAATCTTAATATTAATTACTAATGAATATGTATCATAAACCTTGTGCTACACATATGTGTAAAAAATTACTTTTAAACCTACTTATTACCAACATACTTTCGAGAATTATGACCAGGATTTCCACATGTTTTATATATATATTTTCATTTAGCCGTATTTTCATTTATGCCTTGAGTTGCTTTGGTAGAACTATCAAATAAAGTATCTGCTTGATTATTTGAATTATTGTTAAAAGTATGAAATGGAGTTCTTGTTGTTAATTCAGATGAATACTATAAATTTTGCATTTGTTGTACAGTAGTTTTTGATGCATTGCAGATATATAAATTAGGATCAACTGGATTAATTGCACTAATGCTAGTTTTAGTATCATTGTGTAAATCATTTTCTGCTGATGACTTGATACGTTTATTTGGTGGACGTCCATGCTATTTCACAACCAAGGGATTCAATATATATAAATTCTCAATGTTTTCATAACAGTCAAGAGACATGTCTATTTACAGGGGTTCCAAATGTAATTCATATGGTAAATCAAATGTCGATCATCCAATTTTTATATTAAAATTCCACACTTGTAAAAGGTTCTGTCTATGACAACCCCATGTTTGTGAAACAAAACATCCATAGCTTTTTAAGCCAAAAATATGCGCAAAGCATTTCTTTATAGAATTATAAAAAAACTGACTCTTAATTTTTTTTGTAGGGCTGAAAATCTTTGCGCAAAGTTGAAGTGTCCTAACCCCTGTAATATATATAGATCTACTCAGTTCACGACAACTATTCCCCTAAGAGCCCGGTTTAGTTCCTACCAACTCACACAACTCGCATTTTCGACAAATACCAAGTCTGTAGAAAAGTTAAACCATTTCTACAATAGCGTTTAAGCTCACTTCACCAGTAGCCCTTTCA